ATAATATTAATTTTTATCAATGTACTTTAATTAATTTATATTGATTTTTATTATATATATTTATTTGTCGCTAAATATTGATCTTTTAATTACAATAAGTTATTAAATAAAAAAAAATTATTTATAAATATAACATTTATTGTCAATGTCAACTGTAATAATGAAAAAAACAAGTAAAAACATATTAATAATATTGCTTTATTTTGTAAATAATTAACAAGCATATTTAAGTATTAAATTTTATGAAAACAAAAATACTAATCATAATTATTTACTATATTACTATTTTTTGTTTAGTTTTAATCAATATTTATTATACTAAATAATATATAAAATATAATAAAATAATCAATGGTTTATATATTTGAGACAATAAAATATTATTTAGATATAACAAAATATTTTTAAAAAATTAATAAATTAGTTGAATAAAATTGAAAAATATATTAAAATTTTACAAATAAATACTACTAATAATAATATAAATAAAAGGATTGAAAACTAAAAATATTAATATTTAATTAATTAATTATCACATTGAATATAATGTAAATTTTATACCTGTATAATAAATAATAAAAAATATACAATATATATTTTTTTATCATTAATTATAAATACACTATATTATTTAATATGATAAATACCATTGGTTATAAATTGGTCTAGTTTATTTTGGTAATTAGTTAATAATTATTAGATTAGAAAAAAAATAAATATAAAAATTATTAAATTATTAAATATTATTATCCATCAGTACTTCAAATAATACTTCAAACTTTCTATTTATTAGATAATTATTTAATAAATAAAAATAAAGTAAAAAAATATTGTTAATAAATATGAAATAAATACTGATTTTACATTAAATTAAAAAAATTACTACAAAACAAAAAAATGTTTATTAAATATAAGTGTAATTATTATTATTATTAATTATAATATTTTTTATATTAATTAAATTTTATTGATTTGTTTTAATATTTTTTTGTTGTTAATTAGCAAACTTTTGGATTAACCGATAGTTTTATCTATATATGCGGCGGTTATAATGTGTCCACTGAGCTATCGGTATGTTATGAATATAATACCCGAACCAATGTCTGGCAAACCATACAATCCCTGTCCACTGGACGGGCAGTGTTTAGTATGATATCATTCAATCAAAAATTGTATGCAATTGGCGGCTATAATAATGTAATAATTAATGATAAAAATGTTTTTATAAATTAATATTTTTTAAAAATAATTTTATATATTTTTATTAAAAATCTGAATTTTTAGCAAAAATATTTAAATACTGTTGAAACCTATGATATAAAAACAAATCAATGGAAATCTATAGCATCGATGAATATATTGCGCCGGTATTTATATATTTAATTATTTTTAAAATATAATAATTAAATATTATTATAATTTTATGATTATTTTATTGAATAAATATTTTTTTATAATAATAATTAATTTTATATATAAAGTGAGCATGATGCAACTTTAACACAAAATACAATATATGTATGCGGTGGATTTAATGGTAATTATAAATAATAATATTTTATATTATATTGTATTTATTAAAAAAATTAAAAATCATAGTTTATTTTAATATTTAAAAAAAATTATATATTTAATTAAAAAAATTAAACTTTGTTAATCTACTGTGAAAAAAATTGTTGATATACTATATATATTAGATATTTATATTACTGATAAATTACAACAAAATAACTTTTTATTATTTACATTTTCAAATGTAGTTACTTATTAAATATAACTATAACTATAATTATTATTATTAATTTAAATTTATATATTTAATTTAAAAAATAAATATTTAATCTATTGTTAAAAATTGTTGATATACTATATACTGTATATATATATTAGATAATTATATTAAATCGTGTGAATATTATTTGCCGACTACTGATAAATAGCATTTAACGACATCAATGGCTACCGATAGGCGTGGTCTGGCACTGGTAGCCGATAATGTATATCTGTATGCTATCGGTGGCTATCGGGAGGAGGTCTTAAATACAATGGAAAGATTGGATATACTAACCAAACAATGGAAACCAATGGCAAATATGAACTATACTAGGTTAGTTTAGTTTTTTTATTTAAAAAAATATGTATATATATATTTAATCATTTAATTTACAGTATAGTAAAAAATACCTAGTTAAAAAAATTTATATAAAATAAATTAAACTAATTAAAAATTTAAATAATTGATTAACTAATAATAAATTAAAATAATTGATTAGCTGATTAAAATTTTTTATATAATTAGATTAAGTAATTATATATTTTTATTCTAAGTTCTACTTTAATAATAATAATTATTATTATTATAAATAAAAATATAGATATTAATAATTGATAATTAATTTATTAGAAATATTTTTGTTTTTTTTTGAAAATATAAAGATATTTATTTGGTTCAGCAGTTTTCATGAATAAAATCTATGTTTGCGGCGGTTTGGGTTTGGATGGCAATGGAAATACATGTGAATCATATGATCCGAAAACAAATCAATGGACACCTATTGGTTGGCTATTATTATAATAATAAAAAACATAAATTATTTTTTAATTAATTTATTATTAAAAAAATATTTAGCATCAATGCTATTGGATAGAAGCGATTTTAAATTGATTGCATTAAATAACAAATTGTATGCAATGGGTGGCCAAACAAGTGGTAAATATTTTTTTTAAATAAATAAATAAACTAAAAAAAATAAATAAAAATATATATTTGTAGTTAAAACTTATCCAAACTTTATATAATAGTAAAACTATATTATTGTTAATTTAATCAATGAAAAAAATACATTAGTTTATTGTTTGTTTGTTTTTTGTATTTAATAAAAAAAAATAGTTTTTTTGGTGTTATTATTAGATAATAATAATGTTTTTTTTAAATATTTTTTTCATAGACGGTGTAACAAATACTGTTGAAATATATGATTATAAATCAAATCAATGGTCGTATACAACATCAATGCCAATAAAAGATAGGGATTTTGGGGTAAAAATATAATTTTTAAAAAAAAAATATTAAAAATTAATATTTTTTATAAACTTAAGTTATTAAATATTTTTTTTTATTTACAGGCAACTGTTGTTATATAACATAATCTAAATATAAAATATTATTATTAAATAATTAATAATATTAACATATTATAAATAAATAAATGTCAAAATTTTTATAATTAATTGTATTTAACTAATAAAAACATTTTGTAATTATTATATTATACAGTATTAAATATAATTATTGTTATTATTTAAAACTGTAACTTAAAATCAGATAAATAACTTTTTTTTAATAAAAAACAATATAAAAATATTTTTAGTAATACAGGTATTTAGGTTATCAGTACTTAACAAAAAAATACTTGACTTTATTTTATTTGTTGATATTATATTTATTGTTGTTTTTTAATATATAAAAATCATATATATAATAATAGTATAAAAAATATAATCTAGTTCAAATTAAATATATACACAGTTTAGTTTGATAAACAAAATATTAAATTATTTTTTATTTAAAAATGTTTAACAATAACTATTACTATTTAATATTTTTAAATGCTATTGTTATTATCAATTCAATTAATTATGTTTGCACATTAAATGCAACTAAAATTATTATTAATGATAATAATAATAATAATAACAATAGTAGTGACAATTATAATGTATTGAAAAATATTTTTTTCAATTTTTATATAAATTAATTATTATTATTATTATTATTTTCAATTAGCAAACAATTGATAGTTTTATCTATCTGTGCGGTGGTTGGGATGGCCGCACATATTTGTCTCAATGTTATAAATCAAATAATATCAAACAAACAAAAAATGTTTGGCAATCAATACAATCAATGTCTAGTAAACGGTATTTATTTAGTTGTGTTTCATACGATTCCTTATTGTATGCAATCGGTGGCAAAAATGTATGTATTTTTAAAAAAAAATTGTTTAAAACTTTAAATTAAAAATTTTATATTTTACATATAAAAGGATACATATTTGAATACTGTTGAAACATATGATCCAAAAACAAATATATGGAAATCTATTGAATCAATGAATATTGAACGCAAGTATTGATATAATTATAACTATTATTGTTGTTGTTATATAGTTATCATAAATATTTTATTTATGGGTTACCTATAATATAATTTATAAAGTGAGCATGATGCAACTGTTATTGAAAATACATTATACGTATGCGGTGGTTCAAATGGTAAGTGTATAATATAAATTATTGTGATTATACACACAAACACACACATATATACAAACACATACAAACACACACACACACACATACATAGACATACACACACATACAAACACACACACACACACATACATAGACATACACACACATACAAACTCACACACACACATACACACATACAAACACACACATACAAACACACACACACACACATAAAAAGGATCAGGATTTATAGTGCACGTCACATATTATGTATGGTACACTTTTTGGAGACCCTGTTCCCTTTTTTGTATTATTACCCATAGCATGCGTATAGCACTCATAAGCATAGTTAGAGGAGTACCTACAAACAGTAAGACATCTTGGTAAGGGGACGATTCTTTGTACCCAAACTAGCTGTTACTTAATATTTGAAATGGCAATAAACAACAGTGGCTCACCAGGGAATCGATCCCCGGACGTCGTGCCTCTGTGTTGTTTCTCAGGCAACACGTGCAAACAGCCGACGACTTAGCTCATTGCGCCATTGAGCCACGGACCACACACATACATACACATAGACATACACACACATACACATCAACAACATTTTTTTAAACATTATGTTATTTTAAGTTTGAAGAAATAAAAAATTCATAATTTTTTTCTAATTTTTTTCAGAAATTTATATTTTAAATTCATGTGAATATTATTCACAAAATACTAATAAGTGGTCAATGGCTACACCAATGAATTCAAAAAGACGTGGTCTGGCACTGGTAGCACACAATGGCTATATGTATGCTATTGGAGGTAATAATGGTATCGAAGTTTTCAATACAATGGAAAGATTGGATACAACTACTAAACAATGGCAACCAATGGCTAATATGAGTTATACTAGGTCAGTTATATATACATATATATATATATACTGTAATTATGCTGTCTATATATAACCCAGTCCAATTTGATATTATTTAATTAAACATTTAGCTAAAATTCAATTATTAAAATAAATACAATATAATTAGCATGCTAAATGTTAATTTGTTAATAGCTAAATTTTAGCTAAATGTTTACTTAAAATAATATTATTTAACAAAAATTAAAAATAGTTACTAAATACACAATTATCAATTAATCAAAAACAAGTTTATAGATAATAAATATTTATTATTATATTAATTATTAAATATATTTTTTTTAAATATATATATATATAGAGGTTATTTTGGTTCAGCAATATTTATGGATAAAATATATGTTTGCGGCGGTTATAATAGTAGTAATGAAAAAACATGCGAAACATATGATCCGCTGACAAATCAATGGACACAAATTGGTTGGTTATTATTGATTTTTAATAATATATATTTTTTATTACTTAATTAATTAATATTTTTATTTATATTATATAATTATTTATAGCATCAATGCTATCAGATAGAGATAATTTTCAATTGATTACATTTAATCAACAATTATATGCAATGGGAGGTGTATTTGGTAAACCAGAAACTGTTGAAATATATGATTATAAATCAAATCAATGGTCGTATAGCCAATCGTTGCCAATACATGCTTACGATTTTGGGGTAAAATATATTATTATTATTATTATTTTATTTTTTAAAAAATACATTTGAATTAATTATTATTATTTATATTTTTTATTTAGGCAACTGTTATTTAGACAAACTTATGGAAAATTGTAAATCAATATTAATTAAAATAAATTAAATAATATATATATATATGTATATTGATTTTATTATTATTATTGAAATTTTTTATATGAATTATTATTATATTTACTTCAAATTAAAATAAATTGTAATTATTATATTTTATTGATATAATAACTAATAATATATCTGATCTTAATAAAAAATGATTTTATTAATATCTTATCAGTGTTTAAATTAATATATTGTTAAAATATTTATATACAAAAACAAATTATATAAAAATAAACTTTTTTAATATTAAGTTGTATTAAAATATAAATGTATGAAAATGTATATTTATTATTGTAATAATACCAGTAAAAATATATTAATAAAAAATTATTTTTTAAAAATAATAATTTAATACAAATATTTTCTAGTAACTACTTTTTAATTTTATTTGAAATATTTTTAAAAATTGTATTTATTTTAAATTATTTTATAATTTGTTGTTGTTGTTGTTGTTGTTAAATAGCAAACTAACCAATTATCAGATGATAAAATACACAAAAAATATTACAAAATAATGTTAACATTAAATCATATCTATTGAATATACAGTATAATAGAAATAAATTATTTTTTTCACAAAAAAATATAATTAATTACTTATAATTTATATAATTTAAAATTGGATGCTTTTAATACTATTACTAATAACAAACAGTTATTTAGTTTATTATTAGTTTATAATCTTTATTTTGTGACTATATTTTTAGTACATAACATATATTACATAACCAAATAAAATGTATTTTAAAAAAATCAGTTAATATTTAGTTCAATTATTATATCTATAATATCTATAACATTGTTATGATATATAAATAATTACAACTAATAATAATTAAATTACTAGAAAAAATTGAAACAATAACTTTAACAAAAAAAATTATTATCATTATTATTATATATCTAAACTTTATATTATTAGTACAATACTTGAAAGTGTGTTATAAACTTGAAAATTATATCAATATTTAAAAAATATTATTGTATATAAACTCTAATATAATTAAATCAAAAATAAATTAGTTGTCATAAAATTATATGTATAAAAAAATCTATATATTTTTTAAAAAAATTATTTATTATAATAATAATAAAAATTAATTATAGCACAAAATGCTTAATAAATATTACATTTTAATATCAATTACACAAATTTTTATATTAAATTCTATTAAATCATTAAATACAAGTATAATTAACAATAATAGTGATTATAATGTAAGTTATATATAGAAAAATGTTGTTTAAGTTTAATATTTATCCAAAAAAAAAATTTAATATAAATTAATAATTATTTTTTTAATTAGCAAACAATTGACTTAAATTTTATCTATTTGTGCGGTGGATATGACGGGACATTTTTATCTGAATGTTATAAATATAATACGCAAACAAATATTTGGCAACCAATACAATCCATGTCCACTAAACGTATGTATTTTAGTTTGATTTCATACGATGATTCAAAATTGTATGCAATCGGAGGTATTAGTTATGTAAGTATTTAGTGTTAAACTTATATATTTTTTTAATTAATTTATTTTATTAAATTTTAAAAAATAAAAATTATGTGTTATATTTTAGCCTAGATTTTTGAATAGCGTTGAAACATACAATACGCAAACAAATCAATGGACATCAATAGCATCGTTGAATAGAATACGCGGGTATTTAATAAATATAATTTAAAATCTATTTATTTATTTATTTCAATGTATTAATATTTTATTTTTAATATTTAAAAAAAGTTACCATGATGCAACTGTATTAGAAAATACAATATATGTATGTGGCGGTGAACAAGGTATTTTAATATATTTTTAAAAATTAATTTTGTTTATTAAATTAATTTAATCATAGCTCAATCATTAAACTATTTTTTTATATTTATATCAACAAAAATAATAATAATATAACACATAGTTTTGATATATCATATGAAAAATTACATATTAAAATAATTTTTATATTTTTATACATTTTTTAAAGAAAATGTGAAAATAGTAGACAATAGGATAGTTATGTTACAGACTAGTTAGTTATAGACTATTATTAATATTATTATTTTGTGTGTGTGTGTTTTTATACAATACTATTACAATAAATTTTAATCTATGGATAATTATATTTTAAAAAATATATTTTGAAATATTTAGCAAATATATACAAATCATGTGAATATTATTCACAAAAAACTGATAAATGGTATGAAACGACACCAATGGCTACTGGACGGAGTCGTCTGGCACTGGTATCACTACATGGGTTTATATATGCTATCGGAGGTACTGATGGTAAAGTTGGTTACAATACAATGGAAAGATTGGATACAACTACAGAACAATGGCAACCAATGGCTTATATGAATTATACTAGGTTAGTTATTTTTAAAAAAATTTATAATGTAAATATAATTATACATATTTATTTATACGAAACAAAAAAAATTAATTAAATTTGTAAAATTTTAATTAAAATAGTTTTATTACTATGTGATTATTTGATTGAAATTATAAATTTTATTTTTTTTATTAATAATGAATTATAATATAATACTAGATTAGTTTTATTATTTACAGTATAAATATAAGTATACATATTTATTATACAAAACTTATTAATACTATTATACTAATTAATTTTCTAAAATTTTAATTAAAATAGTTTTTTTACTAAATGATTATTAGATTGAAATTATAGATTCAATTTTGTTAAATAGTTAACTAAATATTAATAATAAATTAAATAATTACATTTAGTTTTTTTTAACTCTAATTTTTATTTTTCTTTTAAAAATATTTTAAGATTTGCTTTTGGTTCGGCAATATTAATGGACAAAATATATGTTTGCGGCGGTTATAGTAATAGTAGTAGTCATCAGAAATCATGCGAAACATATGATCCGAAAACAAATCAATGGACACCAATTGGTTTGTAATTATTAATAATATTAATTAACTATAATTTAATTATTAGTAAATAATTATATATATATATATACTGTATTATTTTCAATAATATTTTGTTAAATAGCATCCATGCAATTAGATAGAAATGATTTTCAATTGATTGCATTTAATGACAAACTATATGCACTAGGTGGTTTTTCAAATGGTAATATATACTATTATACAAAATTTAAAACTAATTAATTTTCTAAAATTTTAATTTAGAGTTTTTTACTAAATGATTATTAGATTGAAATTATAGATTCAATTTTGTTAAATAGTTAACTAAATATTAGTAATAAATTAAATAATTACATAATGGTTAAGTAATTAGTATATATAAATTACATATTTATTGCAAATTATTTATTATTATATTTCTAGTTATTTATTATAAATTTATTATTATTTATTATATTATTCATTATTATTTAATTTTAATTTTACAAACACTTTAGAATAATATATGTTAACATTTATTATTATAAAAATATGATAAAAATAGTACATTATTATTAATTTATTGTATATATTTAAAATATTTATTTAATATATTTCAATTATTTTTTTTTATAAATTTAGTTACTTATAATTAGTAATTTTATTGTTAATTAATTAAAAAAAACTTATAATATTTTTAATAGTCGGCAAAACAGATACGGTTGAAATATATGATTATAAATTAAATCATTGGTCGTATACAACATCATTGCCAAAACAAGTTGATGTTTTTGGGGTAAAATATTTTTTTTATTAATTTATTTTTTAATTTTTTATATACAATTGATATATTTTTTATTTTATTTCTAGGCAACTGTTTTATTGATATAATAAAAAATATGAAAATACTAAACATTATTATTATTTAGATTATCTAAGTATTTGTAAGAGTGTCTAAAATACAAAAACTAATTAAAAAAGTATAAATATTAGATTATATATATAATATTTTTATAAATAAAAATTATTTACTTTTATCAATAACTTTAACTGTATAGAGATAACTATTTTTATTTTAATAAATTAAGTTGTTAGCCCGTTGAGTGAATGGCCAACAATTAACGACAATTAGTTAAAAATTGAATAATTGTTTATTAATGATTAACGTAAAAATGTCGTATATTATTGAATAACTGAAAGCAACTGATTAATACAATGAAAAGCATAAGTATATATTAGATATAAAAAGCGGTTAAATATGGATTATTTATGAGTAGCCATCTGTCGGCTGTCATTCCCCCGCTGACAAAGACCAGGGCGGTGGCCAACGAGATTTTCGGTGAACGATGGGTGACTGTTTACGACGACGAACTGGTACAGTTTGTGTATTATCTGTCAATGTGTCTATGAGTCCATTTGTTGGTTGGCGTACCAATTGGTTGGTAATTGGTTTGTTTGTTGTCGGTTTTCGGGGACCAACCGTATACAACGTAAACGATCATTTGATGCCCCTTTCGTTTGGTTTTGATTGTTGTTGTTTACTGTTTTTGTATCGACTTTCGGTTGTTTTATTATTATTAGTCATGCCATTGTCGGTACTGACGCTGTGATTATCATTATTACAGTCAGTATAAGCGACAACTGTTTTGTTAAACGACAACTTGTTTGTGTTCAACTTGTTTTGGCGAAAATGTTTTTGTTTATCAATTGTCTTGAACGTAACTGAAGACTGTTTGGCAGTGCTTTGTATTTCAGACAATTGTTTAACCGATTGTGACGGTGACTCCAAATGAGTGACGACTGATGAGTATTCGATTGTTGAGTCTTCGGCGTCTGGTTTGACATTATTTTTCGTTTTAATAATGTGATGTGAATTGTTCGGTGCCTCGACTAGTATGCAATACGAACTGTTATCGAGTGCTATGTTATCATCAGTGGTGAGTGTGACCTCGCGTGCGTTGTCGGAGTGACCGAAGCGCTTCGTCTTTGCGGCTTCCAAACCTAAGGCGACCTCAAGCCAATCTTGCGGTGTCTTTGGTCGGACGGCGCCTAAGTGATGACGATAGATTTCGGGCATACCGTTTGTTAGCACAGCGATGGCGTTTTCGTCTGCGAGACCAGCTCTTTGTGTAAGCCGTCTCATATCGTTGTAATACGAAGTAACTGATTCGTGGCGTTGAAGTGATCGTTGAATTGCTTCGATCAACGGGTTAGTGGTTTGTCGACCAAACCGACTGATCATTAACTCACGGCAGCGTTGCCAAGTGAGTGTGTGTCCCATTGGACCGATTTCTCTAGCGACCCATGAGAGTGCATCACCTGAGAGATGTCGAGCTAAGACGACCATCTTTTGTTTATCTTCAGTGATGTCTGCGGTGAGGAAAGAGAAAATGTCGAGCCATTCTTCGACAGTGACTGAAGAGTCAGGACCGGAATATTTGTCACACAAAAGACCGGTGAAATGAGTGATTGTTTGAGTTGCAGGTGTGGGAGATGTATCACCAAAATCATAGTGTATCATATTCGATGCCTGTTGTGGGAGAGTACGACTTCCGTTTCCGGCTCCAACACGTGTGCTTCTGTTTTGCGGTAAGACTGGATTTTCGGCTGTGCGCAACCGATAAAACTGCTCGACAGTTTTTGTTTCTGAATCGCTTGAGTCTTGACTCGCATTCGGCTGACCAGCGTTAGTCACCGATTGATTGGTACGTCTGTTGGGAGTGTTACGGTCTCGTCCTCGAATACGGCTTCTGGTATTGTATGTGTACGGCATGTCGTATGAGTACACTTAAAAATTGACTTCAATGATATCCTGAACCGACTGCGCCAAAATTATTAGCCCGTTGAGTGAATGGCCAACAATTAACGACAATTAGTTAAATATTGAATAATTGTTTATTAATGATTAACGTAAAAATGTCGTATATTATTGAATAACTGAAAGCAAGTGATTAATACAATGAAAAGCATAAGTATATATTAGATATAAAAAGCGGTTAAATATGGATTATTTATGAGTAGCCATCTGTCGGCTGTCAAAGTTTTGTTCAATACACTTGAAGTTAATTATAACTTACTAAAAATGTACAAGTTAATTATTAAAAATATTTATATTTAAATAAACACTGTAGATTATTTAGAAAAAATTGTAAAACAAATTTTATAAATAAAACGATTAAATTTAATCTATTTAAAAATTTTTAATTTAAAACCTAAATTAATATATTGTTAATATTTAGTTAAAAGTAGTTTTTTTTATTAATTATAAACTACAATAATAATTTTTTTAAACTTCAAATAAGTATTAATAAATATATATAATTCTTAAGTATTTTTTTTATCAGAATTGATTATCAATTAAGTATTATTATTATAATTATTATTAATAAAAACATTTAGTTTTTATTTTTTTAAAATTATTTTTAAATGAAGTAAAATAAAATATAATTAATATAGTAGATTTGTGTTTTGTAGATGCACTAAAAATTTTAATTAAAATTATAAGATAAAGTTTAAAAATTTGTTATTTAACTATAGTATTTAGACAAATTTAAAATTTTAGTATTTTTTGAATATTGTAAACCTTGTAATGTATTGTAAAAAATGCATATAATAAATAATTAATTATTAATTAATTAATTATATAAACTTAATAAGTGCAAACTAATTAAATTAAAGTTAACAATTATAATAAACACTCAACTAATTAATGATTATTTAATTGATAAATATATTATTATATTTTTATTAACAAATTAAATAACTTAAGATTAGAAAAATTTTATTGATATCTTTGTAAATACTTAAACATTTTTTCAATTATATATTATAAAATGTAGTGTTTTTTATTATAAAACAATAAATATTATATGTATAACTCTGCAAAAAAAATAATAAACAAAAATTGTAATTATAACTTAAAACTTAAATTTATATAATTCTCAATTTTAATTTTATACACAACAAAATAAATCATCTATAATTAAAACTTTAATATTAATAATTAATTTATTTAAAAAAAACAATATTTTTAATCATTATTATAAGAACTTTAATTAATACTTGATCTTTGTTTTATAAACTTGAAAAAAAAATTATATCAATTTTTTTACTGATTATAGTATTTTTAATATTAAATAAAGTTTATATAATAAGACAAAGTTTTAATAAACAATTAATTTTTTTCAAATATATGTAAGAAATATAAATACATATTAATTGTTTTTTGAAAATAAATTATTAACAAACAAAACAAAAATGTTTAATAAATATTATATTATAGTATTTATTGCTATTATTTATTTACTATTAAATTGTTTTGATTCAACAAGTACAATTGCAATCAATAATAATAATAGTGATTATAATGTAAATAATATTTTTTTTAATAAATAAAAACTACTAAATAATTTTATTTTTTTATGTTGTTGTAATTGTCAGCAAACAATTGACTTATCGGATAGTTTTATCTATATATGCGGCGGATATGATGGATCAGCCTATTTGTCTCAGTGTTATAAATATAACAAACAAACAGGTATTTGGGAAACCATACAATCCATGTCCACTACAAGAGCTTTATTTAGTTTGATTTCATTGGATTCAAAATTGTATGCAATCGGCGGCTATAATGTATGAAAATATTGAATTTAAAATATTAATAATTTCATTAGTATTGTTTAAAAAAATGTTTTATATTTAAATTATTTTAATATCTAAACAAATAAATATTTTTTTATTAGGACAAACATCAATATTTGAATAGTGTTGAAACATATGATATACAAACAAATCAATGGAAATCTATAGCATCGATGAATATAAAGCGCCGGTATTGATAAAAAAACTATTTATTTAAAAAGATATTTATAAATCATAAATATTTGTTAGTTTTAGTTAATATATTGAATTTTTTAAAAGAGAGCATGGTGCAAGTGTAATACAAAATACTATATATGTATGCGGTGGTTACCATAGTAAGTATATATATTTTTTTAAAAAATTATTGTTTTATTAATAACTATAGCACAAAGATAAAAATTTTATTTGTCTTATTAATAATAACTATTTAATTAAAAAACAAAAATAAATGTTAATATTAGAAACACTAATAATAAAAAATAATAATTATAATATTAAAAATTGAAATTATATTCTGCTTGGTTAAATTTCTTTAATTATGTCATTATTTTTGAAATATTATTCATTATTTCTATTAAATTATTTATATTTAGACAAAGTTATCAAATCATGTGAATCTTATTCACCAAATACTAATGAGTGGTCTTTTGTAACACCAATGAGTCAGGAAAGGTATGCTCTGGCACTGGTAGCACACAATGGGTTTATATATGCTATCGGAGGGTATAATAGTGGGGGATTAAATACAATGGAAAGATATGATACAAAAACACAACAATGGAAACCAATGGCTAATATGAAATATGCTAGGTAGTTATTTCTTTATTATTATATAATTTTGAAATAAATTGATAAAAAATTTAATATCGCTAGACTAATAATTAATTTCTTTAATCAATTTCAGTAATTTTTTTTAAATATTTGCATTTTTATTTTTTAAAAATAAAAGATATTCATTTGGTTCAGCATCATTTATGGATAAAATATATGTTTGCGGCGGTTGGGGTAATAGTGATTGGAAATCATGCGAAACATATGATTCAAAAACAAATCAATGGACACCAATTGGTTGATAATTTTAATTATGGAAATTATTTTATTTGTATTAATTTTTATAATTAATTTTATCAGCATCAATGCAATTAGATACAGCTGAATTTAATTTGATTGTATTTAATGACAAATTATATGCATTGGGTGGCTATTTAAAGGGTACATACTGTATATGACTATCTATAGTACTTAAATTTTAATTATATATATATATATATAAAATTTTATTGTTTTTATAACATTAAATAATATCAAATTTTATTTGATAATGTTAAAATATTGGATTTTTTGGTTAAATTAATAATATTTCATTTATAAGTAATCATATAAATTATAATTTTTTAAATATATTAATTTCATTATTTTTATAGATAATAGACGAACAGAAATGGTTGAAATATATGATCATAAATCAAATGAATGGTATTATACGACATCATTGCCAATAAAAGTATCAGCATTTGGAGTAAATATATTTATTTTATTTTATTTGTTTTAATATTAATTATTATATTTTATTTCCTAGGTAGCTGTCCTATAACAAAAATATGTAGTAAAACTATGATGAAAAATGTAATTTTTATTTGCATTACAATTAATATTTTTTTTTAAAGAATACTTATTCATTGTTATTCAAAATTTTTTGTATTAAAGTTTTAGATATTTGTTTTTTATTAACTACGTTTTAATATGCGAAGTATTTATATATATTTATATTATACAATTATATTTAATTATAAATTAATAGTTAATACTTATTTAAGATATAGTAATGTAATGTAAAATCTATGTGAAAATATAATAAACAATTTGTTTTAAATTGCACTATAATTAATTAATAGAAAATATAAGCTACTTAACTAAATCATTAGTTAAGTACAAAATATAATAAATTAAAAATATTGAAAAATTGATTATTTAGACAATTAATTTAAGTTTACAATAATAAGAAACACTCCACAAATATGATTATTTAATTGATAGATATAATATTATAATTTATCAATAAAAATATTACTTAAGATTAATAATTATATTGATATCTTTGTAAACACTTAATTAATTAAAAATTATATTATTAAAATAACAAAAATAAAAGTAAGTGTTAAAATTAATAAATTTTTATATACAAAAACAGATTATATAAAAATTTACTTTTTTATATTAAATTGTATTAAAATATGAATATATAAAAATTATTGTATTATTTAAAATATTATATTATTGTAATAATAAAAATATATTAATTGATAATTATTTATTAAAAAAATAATTTTATACCAAATTACTATTACTAATTGTTTACTAATTACTAATAGTTATTATTTTTAATTGAATTTTTATTTGAAATATTTTTAAAAAATTGAATTTATTTAAAAATATTATTTTTTTGTTAATTAGCAAACTAATAAATTATCAGATAATAAAATAATCACAAAAATATTACAAAATAATATTAACATTAAATCCTATCTAATGAATAAACAGTATAATAGAAATAAATAATTTTTTGTAGTAAAAAATAAATAATTAATTACTTGAATAAATTTATGTATTTGAAAATTTTATGCTTTTAATCACAAGTAATGTTTTTTACTATTACTAATTACTAACAACAATAACTACTACTACTACAAATAACAAATAGTTATTTATTTTATTATCTTTTTTTTTTGGTGACTATACAATATTAACTTATTTTTTTCAATACATTAAATTGATTATGTAATATATGTAATGTACTAAAGTGACTATATTTAGTACATAACATATATTACATAATCAATTAAATGTATTGAAAAAAAATAAGTTAATATTTAGTTCAATTATTATATCTACTATATCTATATAACATTGTTATGATAATTAAAAAATAATAATTAAGATAGAAAAAATTAAACAATAATTAAACAAAAAAATATTATCATTATTATTATATACTGTATCTAAACTTTATATTATTATTGGTAGACTACTTGAAAGTGTGATATATAAACTTGAAAATTATATCAATATTTAATAAATAAATAAATTATTGTTATAAACTCTAATATAAATACATAAAAAAAATAAATTAGTTGACATAAAATTATATGTATAGAAAAAAATTCAATAATAACTTAATAATAATCGTGTTTTTTATTTCCCATATGGAATTCAAATTTTTTTTTTTAAGTATTATATAAAGTTTATATAACAAAACTAAAATTTTTTAACAATTAATTAATTTTATTTTTCAAATATATCTAAAAAATTATTTTATATTGTTTTGTTTTTTTTTGAAAATTAATTATTAACAAACAAAACAAAAATGTTTAATAAATATTATATTATAATATTTATTGCTAAAATTTATTTACTATTAAATTGTTTTGATTCAACAATTACACTTGCAATCAATAATAATAATAATAATAATAATAGTGATTATAATGTAAGTATTTATTTATTTATTTTTTAAAAAAACCCCTAATAAATATTATTTTTAATTATTAATCTAATTATTAGCAATCAATTGACTTATCCGATGATAGTTTTATCTATATATGCGGTGGAAGTGATGGTTCAACCTATTTGTCTCAATGTTATAAATATAACAAACAAACCGGTATTTGGGAAACCATACAATACATGTCCACTGAAAGGATTTCATTTACTTTGATTTCAATGGATTCAAAAATGTATGCAATCGGCGGCTATAATGTATGCAAATAATAATGTTTTTAAAAAATTATTTCAATAATTTATTTTCATTATAAATATTGTTACACACATGCAAAAAAAATGTTTTTATATTAACAAATTAATTAATTATTTATTAGGATAATGATTTAAATAGTGTTGAAACATATGATACACAAACAAATCAATGGAAATCAATTCAATCAATGAATATAATACGACGGTATTGATTAAAAAAAAATACTAGTTATTTAAAAAGTTTTTTTTTAGAAAAATTAATTAATAGTTTTTATTTTTATTTAATATATTATTATTTATTTTTTTTTAAAAAAAAGTCAGCATGGTGCAAGTGTAATACAAAATTCAATATATGTATGCGGTGGTTACAATAGTAAGTATATATATATATTTAAAAAAAAAAATTTGTCTGATTAATAACTAAAATTTAATTTGTCTTATTAATAATAGCTATTTAATTTTTTTTTTAAAAAAACAAACAAAACAAATGTTTCAAAATTAGTAACACTAATGATAAAAAAAAATTATAATAATATTAAAAATTGAAATTATATTCTGCTTGGTCAAATTTTTTTTCTTTGTCATTATTTTTGAAAAAATTATTTATATTTAGACAAATATATCAAATCATGTGAATCTTATTCACCAAATACTGATGAGTGGTCTTTTGTAACACCAATGACTACGGATAGGCGTGGTCTGGCACTGGTAGCCAACAATGGGTTTATATATGCTATCGGAGGCTATAATGGATTTGAATATTTAAATACAATGGAAAGATTGGATACAACTAAACAACAATGGCAACCAATGGCTAATATGAAATACACTAGGTAGTTAATATTATTATTATTATTATTATTATTATTATTATTATTATTATTATTATTATTATTATTATTATTATTATTATTATTATTATTATTATTATTATTATTATTATTATTATTATTATTATTATTATTATTATTATTATTATTATTATTATTATTATTATTATTATTATTATTATTATTATTATTATTATTATTATTATTATTATTATTATTATTATTATTATTATTATTATTATTATTATTATTATTATTATTATTATTATTATTATTATTATTATTATTATTATTATTATTATTATTATTATTATTATTATTATTATTATTATTATTATTATTATTATTATTATTATTATTATTATTATTATTATTATTATTATTATTATTATTATTATTATTATTATTATTATTATTATTATTATTATTATTATTATTATTATTATTATTATTATTATTATTATTATTATTATTATTATTATTATTATTATTATTATTATTATTATTATTATTATTATTATTATTATTATTATTATTATTATTATTATTATTATTATTATTATTATTATTATTATTTATTATTATTATTATTATTATTATTATTATTATTATTTATTATTATTATTATTATTATTATTATTATTATTATCTTTGTATATCACGGTTGTTCCGGTGTGATCACAGTTGTGTCGGCCACTTTTGGTGGCAGAGACACGACTGGTTAGACTCAACTCAAGTCTAGTACTTTTCTGACTGTTCTACAACTCTGAAGTATCACTGCTTTTTGCATTTCATAGATCTTAGTTTTTCTGATTTCCAGTGATTCCAAACTTAGGGCCAGATTTTTCGGTATTACGGCCATTGATGACAGGATTATAGGTATGATTTCAACTTTCTTAATGCGCCACATTTTATTGATCTCATAGGCCAAGTCTGTATATTTTCGGCGTTTCTCACTATGCGTGTCCTGTAGTTTGTGTGTTAGTGGGACCGCTATGTCTATTATGTACGCCTTATCTTGATGTTTGTCTACTAGTACTATATCTGGGCGGTTGTGGGCCACAGTCTTATCTGTTCTTATTTCTTTATCCCAGTAGAGCTTGGCTCTGTTGCTTTCCATTACACTTTGTGGCTCGTATCTATAGTATGGTAATGGTTCTTTGGTTAGTCCGAATCTTATTGCCAATTCCTGATGTATGATTTTGGCTACTTGGTTGTGACGGCTTAGGTACTCGGTGTTTGTGAGTACTTTACACCCATTTAGTATATGTTCTATTGTTTCGGACTCCATATGACACATCCTGCACTTGTCTGTTGGTATATTTAGCTTTTGGATGTATTTCTGATGGTTTCGTGTCGGAATCACTCGATCTTGTATTGCCATCATGAACCCCTCTGTCTCTCCATGAAGACCGGCGTACTTCAACCATTTTGTAGACATTTCTTCGTCTACGTGTGTTTGGTTGAGTTCTGCTCTGTATCTACCGTGGAGTTCTTTTGAGGCCCACGTGTTAATCCTCTCTTTTTCATTTTGTATTTCTATTTGATGTTCATTATTGCTGAGATTTAGAGGTGTGTAGTTGTTATCAAGTGTTGCTGTTATTTTGTGGAGCTCTGAGACATTGCATTTTTGTTGATGGTATTTTCTCAGCAATTCTCGCTGTTTGGCTTCAAGGCTTACAATGTTTAGTAACCCTCTACCCCCATGCTTTCTACTAACACACAGTCGTGCTACAGAACTTCTAGGGTGGTGTAGTCCAAACATTGTAAGTTGTCGCCTTATATGTCTTTCAATGGTCTCAAGTTCTGTTTTACTCCATTTTATTATTCCGAACGAGTATGTCAGTACAGGTATAGCCCAAGTGTTTATGGCTTTGAATTTGTTGTTTGAGTTTAGTTGAGATTTTAGTATTTTTATTATTCTTTGGTTTAATGTTTTCTTTATTTCTTCTTTAACTTCTGTCATTTTAGATTTATGCATTTGCTTAATTCCTAAATACTTATATATATCTCCATTTTCTAGTGCCTTTATATATCCGTTATCAGTTTCGTATTGATTTCTTTCAGAATAGACTCCTCTTTTCAGTTTCATTATAGCACATTTATCTAATCCGAATTCCATATTTATATCATTGGAGAAAGTTTCTGTTGTTTTTAGCATTGCATTTAAATCAGATTCTTTTTCGGAGTATAGTTTTAAGTCGTCCATATATAGTAGATGTGTTAGATTATATTTTGTATCACTTGATTTTAGATTTACGCCTTTTAGCTTTTTAAGTAGTGATGACAGTGGGTTTATAGCTAAGCAGAACCACAGAGGACTGAGTGAATCTCCTTGAAATATTCCTCTATTTATTTTGATTTCTGTACTTATTTTTGTTCCATTATTTGTATTGACACACAATTTAGTATTCCATTTTTTCATCATATTTTCTAATGTGTTTATCAGTGTGTTGTCAATTTTATATAGTTTTAACACTCTTAATAACCATTTATGAGGGACTGAATCGAATGCTTTCTTATAGTCTATGTATGCCATTTCAAGATTTCTATGTTTTTGACGAGCTCTTATTGTTATGATATTGTCTATTGTTAATTGCTCTTTACAACCCATTGAGTGTTTTATACAGCCTTTTTGTTCTTCAGCTATTATGTTGTTGTTACTTAAATGATTATATATTTTTGTTGATATTATGGATGTTAGGATTTTATACATTGTTGTTAGGCAAGTGATTGGTCTATATTTGCTGGGATCTGATGTATTTTCTGTTTTTGGGAGTAGATATGTTATTCCGGAAGTGAGGAAGTCATCGGTTTGTCCTGTTTGTATTATTTTATTCATTGCTATTGCCATTGGTTGATGAACTGTTGTAAAGTGTTTATACCAGAAGTTTTGTATTTTGTCTTGTCCTGGGCTTTTCCAATTGTGGGATTTATTGAGGGCTTCGGTTAAGTCATCTTTAATTATATTTACTGAAGTCATATGTGGTATTTCTTTATTTTCATCTTCAATATCATTTATCCAATTAGATTCTTTATATTCCTTTGGGTTACTCCAGATTTCTTTCCAGTAGTTTTCTATTTCATCTATTTGTGGTGTATTGTTATTATTGCTTGAATTTATTTTATTTTGATTTCTATAGAACATTTTTTCGTTATTATAGAACATTGTATTTTGTTTTCGTCTTTCGCTTTGTATTTTATATCTTCTAATTCTTTGTGATAGTGCTTGAACTGTTTGTTTTAATGTGTCGTTGTAATTTCGGATTATGGATTCAAATTCAGGTTTTCCAGGTTTTGTCTGTAATGATCTGTATATATCTTTTAATGATTGGTTAAGTCTTTTTGATTTGATTCCATTTAACACTTGCGTTATTCTTCCAATTATTTTTCTTTTCCCTTCTATCCGTGTCTCTATTCGCTTTTGCCATTTAGGTATTACATTTTCTTGATTTGGTTTTGTTGTAGACATGTGTTCTATTTTGTAGCCTAAGAGTCTCGATACTGCTACTGCTGCACAATACGTTATTGTATTAATTGCGCTCAACGACATATTTTCTTCGATGTAATTTTAAGTATATCATTTATCGTTATTATAGTAGATCTTGTTTTAATGCCACTTCTTATTTTTGGTAATTTAGGTCTGAATTCTATTTCAAAGTCTTTATATTGTTCTAAAGATGTTTTTAGTTCATTTTCTGCTGTTATTCTTTTTATTTCATCATTTGTATTGTTTATGTTATCTGTTGTTGTAGGTGTCTCTTCTATTTCTGGCACTACTTCTAGTGTGGTATTTAATTCAGTTGTTTCATTTAATGATAGTTCATGTGCCACTTGTTGTTTGATTTCTTGTAATTCAATCGGGGATATTTTATTATTCTTTGCTAAGAATCGCCGTTGGTCTGCAATTCTTTGTTCCGTTACATTTAGTTCTGGATATTTTTGTTTGAATGCTAAGTATATTTGGTTTCTGTAATCAGTCATATTTGTTTCGAGTCGAGTTGATCTGTAGTATTCGCGCATTATCAAGGTATTCATCTCATGTGTCCATCTCATGCGCTTTTGCGATTTGTCAACCAAATTGGTCAGTTGTTGCTGAGAACCAGCTTGAACTGAAACATTTTGGAGGTTAGTCTGATTTTGTTGACTAGTCTGCGGTCGCATTACATCACAGCTTTGCCCGCATAGCACATCACTGCGTGGGATATGATGCATACTTAACGAACAGCAGTCAATGCCTACCTGCTGAACGCGGGATTTATTTGAGAGGGTACCTCCCGAACACCCCCCGTTATTCCTACGACTACGTGTAATCATATTTATATATTTTGTGGCCTTTTTACGGGGTCCCGGTCCCTAGAGAAAGCTCAACACTAATATGTGTCTATTGCCACCCATTTCTCACCACTAACATGTGTTTGTTGAAATAGGATTTTTATTTTTATTTTTTTGAAACAAAAGTGGCCATTGCGTGTGAGGACGAGTAACTACTCGAAGGGTGAAGGGACATCCTTGCGGACGTCCCTTCGGGGTGGGGGCACCTTTTTACAGGCACCCCCGGGTGGGAGCACCCTTGCGGGTACCCCCAGGTGGGCACCGATACCGAAGTACCGATACCCGGGTCGGGCAGAAACTCGTCCTCACTTAGCACCCCGCTTTCCCCATACTACTTAAGTTGGCCGTCCTAAACAGCGTTGGTTGGGCAGGGACGGGAAGCACAGTTAAAACAATTTTTTTTTCTCAGAAAAATTGCTTTCCACATCAGGGCTCGAACTCACGATCTTACTCTCCATTACTCTACTAGCCCTACACACTAACCACTACACCACTGTGCCTCCTCTTATTATTATTATTATTATTATTATTATTATTATTATTATTATTATTATTATTATTATTATTATTATTATTAAGTTTTAAAATAAATTAATCAAAAAATTATTTAATATTACTAGATTAATAAATAATTAGTAATAATTTTAGATTATTAAAAAAATTATTAATTAATTAAATAACTTTTATCTAATTTCACTAATTTCTTTAATACTTTTTAATTTAAATCTTATAAAAAAACAAAACAAAAGATTTAATTTTGGCTCAGCATTATTTATGGATAAAATATATGTTTGCGGCGGTTATGATATAAGTGATGGGAAATCATGCGAATCATATGACCCGAAAACAAATCAATGGACACCAATTGGTTTATTATAATTTTAATTATCGAAATAATTTTATTTGTATGATTTTTTTTTTATAATAAATTTTATTTATTAGCATCAATGCTTATAGAAAGATTTGAATTTAGTTTGATTGAATTTAATGACAAATTATATGCATTGGGTGGCTATACCAAAGGTATATTTTAGACCAGTAATTTTAACTTTAAGTAGTATCATGATAATTTTGTTGTTGTTGATAAATGTTATTGATACCATGATAAAACTAATCACACATATAGACTAGTACAAATTAAATAAACTATGGCTTAGATAAAATATTTATTTAATTTGTATTCGTTTAAATGTTATAACATTATTGATGTTCAAAAATTTATAATAAATAAAATAATTATTTATAGATAACATAATAATTTTTATTTAGTTTAAATGTTTTTAAACATACACTACAATAAATAATAACTACCGGTAAATATTTTATCTAAGTCATAGTTTAGTTATTATTTATTGTAATGTATTTTTAAAAACATTTAAATTAAATAAAAATTATTATGTTATCTATAAATAATTATTTTATTTATTATAAATTTTTGAACATCAATAATGTTATAACATTTAAACGTATACAAATTAAATAAATTATTTATCTAAGCCATAGTTTATTTAATTTGTACTAGTCTATATGTGTGATTAGTTTTATCATGGTACTTTTCATAAATTATAATAATAGCTAAAAAAATTCCTATTTATAAAGTTAATCACTGTTTTAGACTATCTATAGAATTTAAATTAAATTCGTATGATAATGCTAAAATATTACAAAATTTTTTTAATTAAATTAAAATTATATTTATTACATTTAATTATTTTTAGATTTTAAACAAACAGATACGGTTGAAATATATGATCATAAATCAAATCAATGGTATTTTACGACATCATTGCCAAAAAAACTACAAGATTTTGGAGTAAATATCTTTGTTTAATATTTTTTGTTTTAATATTATTTATTGTATTTTATTTTTTAGGCAACTGTTATAAAAAAAATATGAAAACCATCATAAAAATTTTTATTTGCAGTACAATTAATATTTTTTAAAACAATACTTATTCATTGTTATTTAAAATTTTAAAGTTTTTAAATATTTGTTTTTTATTAATTATATGTAGAATTTATACATTTTTAACTTATATTACATTTTTATAAATTACTAGTTAATATTTATTTAAGACATTATAATTTAATGTAAAACCTATGGGAAAACATAAATTATATAATAAACAGTTAGTTATTAATTGCATTTTAATTAATTAATAGAAATATAAGTTACTTATATAAGTATAAAATATAATTAATTTAAAATATTGAAAAATAATTGATTATTTAGACAATTAATTTAAGTTAACAATAATAAGAAACACTTAACTTAAATATGATTATTTAATTGATAAATATATTATTATAATTAATCAACAAAAATATCAACTTAGGATTAATATTTAATTATATTGATATCTTTGTAGACACTTATTTAATTAAAAATTATATTATAGATGACATATATATATATATATAGTTTTATTAATATCAATAGTTTATATATAACTTAACAAAAATCTAATTAATAAATTTTTTTCACTATACTTAGACTTTTAATTATAACTTTAAACTTAAAAATATCATTTCTCTGTTTTAATTTATCAACTAATTTATAAGTAAACAAAATATAATCTAGCAATATTTATAATCATTATTATTAAGTACTTAAATTTAATACTTGATCTTTGTTATATAAACTTGAAAAAAAAATGATATCAATATTTTTTTTTACTGATTGTTTACTGATTTTTAGTATCAAACTTATAACAATTAATTAATTTTTTTTTCTAATATATGTTACAGAAATTATTATACGTTAATTGTTTTTTTTTTGAAAATAAATTATTAACAAACAAACAAAAAAATGTTTAATAAATATAATTTTATATTATTTATTGCATATATTTATTTACTATTTAATTGTTATGATTCAACAAGTATAATTGCAATCAATAATAATAATAGTGATTATAATGTAAACTATATTTTTACTTAAAAAAATGTTAAATATTTATTTTCTAAAAAAACCTAATGAATAATTTTATTTTTTTGATGTTATTGTAATTATTAGCAAACAATTGATGACTTATCGGATAGTTTTATCTATATATGCGGTGGATATGATGGGTCATCACAATTGTCTCAGTGTTATAAATATAACAAACAAACAGCTATTTGGGAAACCATACAATACATGTCTACTCCGAGAAATATATTTAGTTTGATTTCATACGATTCAAAATTATATGCAATCGGAGGCTTAAATGTATGCAAAAAAAATTGTGTATTTAAAATTGTTTTCATTTTAGTATTGTTACCCAAAAAAATACTCGTTTTATATTTGATTATTTTAAAATCTAAACAAATTAAATATTATTTTATTATTATTAGGACAAATATGAATATTTGAATAGTGTTGAAAAATATGATACGCAAACAAATCAATGGAAATCAATAGTATCAATGAATATATTACGCGGGTATTGATTAAAAAAACTAGATATTTAAAACAGTTTTTTCAATCATGAATATTTTTTAATTTTTATTTAATTTATTGATTTTTTTTTTGAAAAAAAAGTCAGCATGCTACAAGTGTAATACAAAATACAATTTATGTTTGCGGCGGTCAAAATGGTAAGTATATATATATTTAAAAATATTTTATAAGTTTGATAAATAACTATAACACAAAAATAATAATTAAATTTGTGTTTTATTAATAATAGATATTTAATTTAAAAAAAAACATAACAAATTTTATTTAAATTAATTAAAATCAACACTAATAATAAATAATGATAATATTATTATTAACAATTGAACTTATATTATGCTTGGTCAAATTTTTATGTGTACATTATATCATTATTTTTATTAAATTATTTATATTTAGATAAATATATCAAATCTTGTGAATCTTATTCACTAAATACTGATGAGTGGTATTTTATAACACCAATGACTACGGAAAGGTATGGTCTGGCACTGGTAGCACACAATGGGTTTTTTTATGCTATCGGAGGCTCTAATGGTAAAGAAATATTCAATACAATGGAAAGATATGATACAACTACACAACAATGGCAACCAATGGCTAATATGAAATCTACTAGGTTATTTAATTTTATATTATTTCTATTATATTAGTTTTCAAATAAATTAATAAAAATTACTAGACTAATACTTATTTAAAAATTATTTATAAATTTATAATAAATATAAATATCTTTTTAACAATTTCAGTAATTTCTTAAATATTTTAAGTTTATATTTTTTATTAAAAAAAATAAAAGATCAAATTTTGGTTCAGCATCATTTATGGATAAAATATATGTTTGCGGCGGTTATGTTAATAGCGATACAAAATCATGTGAAACATATGATCCGAAATTAAATCAATGGACACCAATTGGTTGATAATTTTAATTATTGAAATTATTTTATTTGTATTAATTTTTATAATTAATTTTATTAGCATCAATGCAATTAGATAGAGTTCATTTTAATTTGATTGCATTTAATAACAAATTATATGCATTGGGTGGCCTAACAAAAGGTATATTTTATTATAATCTATAGAATTTAAATTTTAACAAAAAAAATATTTTATATCTATATAATTCTATAATTTTTTTAAAAATAAAAATTAATATTAAATTTCGTATGATAAGTACAAAATATTCCAGATTTTTTTAGTAAAATTAATTTATATTTTATTTATAAGTAAGCATTATAGAATTTATTTTACATATAACTTAATTTTTTTTGTAATTATTAAAGATATTAACAAAATAATTAGATATATAAACCATTGATTGAAAACTATTAATTAATTGCAAAAGTTTTAGTCACATATAACAACATATTTTTAAAAGGTAGTCATATATTATCAAATATTAGCACATATTTTGCATTTAATGTAAAATAATAGTTAAATACTTTTTTCTTATGTATTTTTGTATGTATTATTTGTTTAAATTTTTTTAAAAAAATAGTATTTTATATGAATGCAACATAATTTGTTAATTTTTGTAGACATAATATAAACATAATATTTATAATATATTTTTCTACTATTTTCTAGTCTCTGCTAAAAGACAATAGAAATAAAAACATTATTTGCATCTATTTAAATTAAGTTAAATTTAATTAATATGTTTATTTATAAGTATAAATAACAAAAAAAAATTTTAAAATGTATTGTTTTATCATTAATTGTAAATATAAAATTAATTGATTGATTTTTTAAAATATAATCATATACTTTAGACTTTTCAAAAACAAAATATTATTACATATTTTCATGTTTTTTTTAAAACAAATATTTCATTGAATAAAACCTGAATTTTAGTCACATATATCATATAAATTATTTTTTTAGATATTGGACAACCAAATACGGTTGAAATATATGATCATAAATCAAATGAATGGTTTTATACGACATTATTGCCAAAAAAATTATCAGGATTTGGAGTATATATATATATATATATTGTTGTTAATAATATTAATTATAATATTTTATTATTTTTTAGGCAACTGTTATAACAAAAATATGAAAATTTTATGAAAAAAAAACATTTAATTTTTATTTGTATTAAAGAATACTTATTCATTGTTTTAAAGTTTTTACATATTTTGTTTACAATGTGTAATATTTATACTTTTTTTTAAAAAAAATTTATAATACATTTTTTTTATAAATTAATAGTTAATATTTATTTGAGACATTGTAATGTAATGTAAAACCTATGGAAAAATATAATAAACAATTAGTCTTAAATTGCACTTTAATTAATAAATAGAAATAAAATTTACTTAACTAAATAAATTAGTACACAATTAATTAAAAATATTGAAAAATAATTGATTATTTAGATCAATTAATTTTTTGTTAAAAATAATAAGAAACACTCTACAAATATGATTATTTTATAGATAAATATATTAGTATTATTTATAAACAAAAATATTAACTTAAGATTAATTTTTTAATTATATTGATATCTTTGTAAACACTTAATTAAAAATTATATGTTATTAAAATATCTAATATAAAAGTAGTAATTTTTTTTATATTTTTATTATGACAAATATATATCTAGTTATATTAATATCAATAGTATATATATAACTTTAATAAACAATTTTATTTCAGTACACTAAAAATTATAATTATAACTTAAGTTTATCATTTTAATTTTAATTAATCAACTAATGTACCGTATATACAAAACTATATACTCTAACAATATTTTTAATCATTATTATTAAGTACTTAAATTAATACTTGATCTTTGTTTTATAAACTTGAAAAAAATGATATCAATATTTTTTGTTTTTTTAATGATTATATGATTTTTAGTATTAAATTAAGTTTATATAATAAGACAAACTATTAACAATTAATTAATTAATTTTTCAATTATATCTAAGAAATTATTAAACATTAATTTTTGTTTTTGAAAATAAATTATTATTAACAAACATTAAAATGTTTAATAAATATTATTTTATAGTATTTATTATTAATATTTACTTACTATTAAATTGTTTTGATTCAACAAGTACAATTGCAATCAATAATGTAAATAATATATTTTTAAAAAATGTTAAATATTTTTTTTTAAAAAAAAGACTAATAAATAATTTTATTTTTAAATATTAAATGTAATTATTAGCAAACAATTACTGATGACTTATTAGATAATAGTTTTATCTATATATGCGGTGGTTTGGATGGCACAACCTATTTGTCTCAATGTTATAAATATAACAAACAGACAGGTATTTGGGAAACCATACAATCCCTGACCACTAAACGGGACTTTTTTAGTCTGATTTCATACGATTCAAAATTGTATGCAATCGGCGGCTATAATGTATGTAAAACAACAATCATATATATAAATTAAATTAAATTAAAATAATTATTATGTCATTAATAAACATAAATAATTAATAATTTTTTCAAAAATAAATTTAAGGGTAAAACTTTAAATAGCATCGAAACATACGATACACTAACAAATAAATGGCAATCAATAGCACCGATGAATATAATACGATAGTATATAATATAAATTAATACAATTATTAATTATTATTTTTTTTATTAAAAAAATAATGTTAGAAAAAATTATTGATTATATTAAAAATTATATTATTTGTTATATTTAAATATAAAGTGGTCATGATGCAACTGTAATTCAAAATACAATATATGTATGCGGCGGTCAAAATGGTAAATAAAATATAATATTATTAATTAATTAATTTAAAAAAATAATGTTTAATAACTAAATACTAACTAAAAACTCATTTTAATATATTAATTGAGTTATAAAAACAAATAACACATTGAATTTTTTTTATTGTCTATAGAAAAAACTAATTAAAATATTTTAAAATAAACAATTATTTGCAGAAAAAAATTTATTAAATATTTTTTGAATACTTTAAATAATTGAAATTTTTAATTTTTTTTAAAAATAATTTCAATATTCAGGCAATGTATTCAAATCATGTGAATATTATTCGCTAACTACTAATGAATGGCATTTTGCTCAACCAATGGATACGGATAGACGTAATCTGGAACTGGTAGCTAACGATGGCTTTATATATGCTATCGGCGGTCATAATGGTAAAGAATATTTGAATACAATGGAAAGGTATGATATAAAAACACAACAATGGCAGCCAATGGGAAATATGAGATATGCTAGGTTAGTTATTTATTTAAAAAAAAAATAAAATAAATAAAACAATAATTATTGTATGAAAAAATATGCCAAATTAAATTTTTAATAAATATATATATAGTAGATACTGACAGGAAAAGCTTACTAGCTTAATTTTTAAATTATAATTTTAAGTTATTGATTTGCAAAAAATAAAAAAAATAAACATTAATCAGTAATAGTTTATATGTACATGATGATATTTTTTTATAAATTTTTATAATGTTTAATAAAGTACGTTGTCAATTAATTTAAAAATTAAGCTAGTAAGCTTTTCCTGCCAGTATCTAATATATAGTTAAAAATATTTATAATATTGTAACTAGATGAATTTTTTTTAATTAATAATTATTTTTTGTATAATGTAAGAGCCTATTTTGGATCAGCATTATTTATGGGCAAATTATATGTTTGCGGCGGTTTGGGTAATAATGATCAAAAATCATGCGAATCATATGATCCGAAAGCAAATCAATGGACACCAATTGGTTTGATATGATTTATTATTATTTTTTTTTTAAATAAAAAATTATTTTTCAAAATAATTTATACATTTTTGTTTGTTTGTTTGTTTAGCATCAATGCTATTAGATAGACGTTATTTTAAGTTAATTGCATTTAATCAGAAATTATATGCATTGGGTGGTCAAGGAAAAGGTATATATATTTTTTATATATCAAAAAATAAATAAATAAATTTATTTAGATTTCTATTAAAAATCATAATAATTTATATATATATATAACTTGAAATATAATTTTTAAATTAAATATGTAAAATTATTATTTTTATAAATAGTAAATCATAATTTTAGACTAGTTAGACAGTTTTATAGTTAAATTAAATAATAAATAATATAAACATTTAAAATTATTTTTAAATAAATATTTTAATAGATGGTAAACCAACTGAAACGGTTGAAGTATATGATTATAAATCAAATCAATGGTATTATACGACATCATTGCCGAAAAAAGTTTACAATTTTGGGGTAAAATATTTTTTGCAATTTATTAAAATATTTAAAAAAAAAATTAATTTATTATATTTTTTATTTTTATTTAGGCAACTGTTTAACAAAGTTATAATACAAAAGTATAAATAAAACATTACCTAAAATTATTTTGAAAAATTAATAGTTTAGAATAAAATAATGTAAATTATTTTTTAAACCGATTAATAAAAATTTAATTAACAACTTATTATTTAGACAGCATTATCCACTAATAGTAATAAACAAGTTATTATTACTTATTATTAAAAAAAATAAAATTATAAATTCTCTAATCTTAACTACCATTTAAGTCTAATATTTATTTGTAATTAAATATTTTTTTAAAAATATTCACTAAAATAGTAATTAACTGAAAAATTGTATAGTTTTATTTTTATTAATACAACTAATAAAATTATTTAATTATTTAATAAAAAGTTTATTAAAGTAATTTTAAATATTTATTGTTATTATATTCAATATAAACTGTATAATCTAAGGTACAATTAATAATTTTAAAATAAAATAATTTAATTCAAATTTGGTTTATTTTTAGTATTATATACAATAAAAACTATTAGAATATTTTTTATAACATATTTTAGTTTTAGATTTAATTTAAAATATTTCCAATTTAATTAGTTGATTAAATATATGTATATATATATATATTTTTTTATATATTTATTAAAAAATTTTATAATATTAAAAATAAAAATCTATTTTTAAAAAGCATTATTACAACATACATATAATTTTAAAATAGATTTTACACAAACAAACATCAATATAACACATTAAGATAATAGTTATGTCTGTTTGTATGACCCTTTACCTCAACAACCATATTTTAATTCAAATCTAAAAATCTATTATTATATTTTAAATTTTTATTCAAAGCAATGTTATTTCTATTGGTTATTTTTAATGTTTATTGAGGTCAGGTAGGTATTAGGCTTAAGAAGGCAGGTGTTATATAATAATATGGTAAATTTATGTAAAATTTTCACAAATGCAAAAATTAACTAAACTTTAAATATTTTCAAAATTATATTATCTCAATTATTGTGCAAATTAAAAGATTAATTTATATAATTATTAGTCAATAAAAACTTATCGCGTTATTTACTAAATATTTAATAAACGCGTAAATTATAAATTTAAATATCACTTTGTTTTTATTTTGATTACAAATATGTTTTAAATTGCTATTTTCATCATTTTGTCTTATCATTGAGCAATCAATTGGACATTTGGATTTATTTTATAAAAGAAGTATATTTAAATTATTTAATTTTGATAAACTTTTCCTATTATAACATAATAGTTAAAAATATGAGGAATTTTTTGAATAAACAAGTGTTTACATGATTGAACCAATTGTTGATCAGTTGGATTAGTCATTGACTGATATTTCACTTATAAACATCAGTCAATCTCCTATAGAATAAAATGAATAAAATAAAAGTTTTGCTTACATGTTGTTTTTGTATTGATTTTGTGTATTAATAAACTTTGTTGTTTACATAATGTACTGATATCTATTAAACAAATACTTGAGTTGTTTGTTACGGAGCTGTGAGACGTTCTCTTCCACGCGGTTACAGATTAGATTAAATTGGATAACCAAACTGTAGATTATGTTGCCATGCGTCCAGACATGTCGTTATATCAACGTGGCTTCCGTCTGGTCTGTCGAGCACAAGTACACTGTATCGGTAAAGTTTTTCAAACACCAACAGTAAAGAATACGGTTTATATAATTAGCAAGATATGTATACGACATTATAAATATTACATACAAAATATTAATTTTTAATTGTGCCAACTTATTTTATAGAGGTTTTTCTGAATAGTATAAATATGATAAAGTGATAAAGTGATTTTTATAATCTATCAGAATTTACTATTGTAGTTGACTATTGTATATGCATAACGATAGGTCGCAATATAATGTATTTCGATGATAATTCTTATTCTTAGATTGGATTGGAAACAAATTTGGCAGTCATTCTAATTTATTATATATATTTTTTAATTAGTAAGATAATACACTAATATAGTCATGTTGCGCGGGACAAACTAGTTTTTATAATGATAATATTATGCGTAACTATTAAAAAAAATTAAGTAATAATCTACATATGTTTTTTGTGTTGATTAAAATTAGTTTTTTTTAGTAAATCAATAAAATGGATTTAAAGATTTAAAGTGAATGTTAATACAGAGCCCTAATATTATAATCAATACTGTACTATACAATACAATACTAACATTTTTTACTCTCTCTCTCTCTCTATCACAGATATTTTCTACTAAAAATATTGTTTTTGTTGCTATTGTTGTAAATGTATTTATAATGCAGTTTATATTTAATTGCAATATTATTACTAAAATAATGTCTATATAAAAGTATGAATATATAGTATAATACACAACTCAATATAAATCTCTTTTACATTTACTTTTCTATCTATATATATCTCTCTCTCTACTTAATAAAAGTAAAATATTTTTTTATCAATTTTAACAAATTTAACAATCTACAGATGTTTTATTTTCTTAAATTGAAAATAGATTTATTTCTAAATTTAATAAATTTATTAATTAATACTAGTCATAAGTCATATAGTATATGTTGTATTTCTAAATTTTAAAACACTTTCTTATTTGATTTATAACTATAAACTTATGACTATTACTTTCATTATAACAAACAAATTCAATAACAATAATGATTGTTCAAACAAAACAATTAAATGATCATGTTGGATTTGGTGGTAAACTATTGTTGATGAGATTTGTTGTTATTTTATTCATAATACAATTTACTGTCAATTGCAATGATGACGGTAATTATAATAATAAGCTACTTAATATATAAATAATTAACCGATTACTTATATTTTACTAGATTATATGATATACACTATATAAATACAATTAAAAATAAATAATTATCATATCGAATATCTTATTATATACTATATTAATATAATATCTTAGTTTAAATTAACAAATTATTTTATATTTAAATGATTAACCGATAATTGTATAGTATACTTTATACTTTTTATATTACTATTTTTCTGTTTTACTAAGTCTCTCTCTTTAAGTTACATTAAGTTTCTTTGTTAGTCTGTAACATAACTTATCTGTTTTTCAATTAATATATTTGTTTACTTTTTTTTCTATAGAACAATGTATAGAATTTTTGGAACAATGTGAAGATGAGAGTAGCAAATGTTGCGATGATGAAATCATATGCGAATTACATCAGTGTCAATGTATGGGAGGTGATAGATTTTATTGAAAAATGCTTTTATTAATTATATATTTATAAATATATAGAAATAGATTATTTTTAGAAATATTTTTTGATTCATTTTTAGTAATTATATTGAGTAACAATAAAAAAATTATGTAATATCTTATAGATGTTTTATTTTTGTAGTTTTTCTAGTGGTCTTTCTATTAGACGTCGTCAGTGGCGTCAGTCGTTTAATCAAATACAACTAATTTTAAAAAAATTTAACAAAAAATTTACATAATATTCAAATTAGATTTTTTTAATTATATTATTTTATTTAGTTAATATTTATTATTTTATTACAAATACAAAATAACAATAATGATTAGTCAATAATAATTAATTAAACATGGTGGTTTTGGTGTCTACTTGATTTGTTTTGAATTTTTAAGTATAAATTTTAACATTATAATAGGAAATAAATCTTTTTAAAAAATTTTTTTTTGCATAAATTATACAAAACTTGAAATAAATATATAAAAATAAATTATTTCATAATCAATTTATTTTTTATCAATTATGTAATGTAATTATAATAAAAATTTATTAATAACTTTATGTCTTCATCTATTATTCACACACTTATTTAAAGTGATATTGTTTTTTAAATTAAATTTTCAAATATATTTATATATTTAATAATTACTTCATAAACAACAACTCTATTTTTATCCATTATATTGTGTAACTATGGAAAAAATAATTAATAATAATAAAATACAGATGTTTTATTTTTTTAAATTAAAAATAGATTTAATTCTAAGTTAATGAATTTATTAACTAAAATAAAATATAGTATTTTTTGTATTTCAAAATTTTAAAACACTTTCTTATTTGATTTATGACTGTAAATCTATATATTTCTTACATTATAGTAAACAATAATGATTTTTCAAAGAAAACAATTAAAAGATCATGATGGATTTGGATGTAAAGTATTGTTGATGAGATTTGTTGTCATTTTATTGATAATACAATTTACTGTCAATTGCAATGATGACGGTAATTATAACTATAATAATAAGCTACTTTATATATAAATAATTAACCGATAACTTATATTTTACTAAATTATATATATATATAACTATAAACTATTTAAATACAATTAAAACTATATAATTATTATATCTTATTATAATATATACTATATTAATATAATATTTTAATCTTTATATACAAATTATTTTATATATAAATGATTAAACGATAATTGTTTAGTATACTTTATACTTTTTATATTACTATTTCTCTGTCTTACTAAGTCTCTCATTGTAAGTCACTTTAAGTTTTGTTTGTTTGTATTATCCATAGCTGATCTGATTTTCAATTAATAAGTATTTGTTTACTTTTTTTTCCTATAGAACAATGTATAGAATTTTTGGAACGATGTGAAGATGAGAGTAGCAAATGTTGTGGTGATGAAATCATATGCGAATTACATCAGTGTCAATGTATGGGAAGTGATAGAGAATGTACAGAAAACGAATTGGAAAAGAAAAGACAAAAAGGATGAAAAATATAGTGAACAACGAAAAAAAGAAACTGAAGAGATGTATGAAAGAATTAGATTAACGGCAGAAGAATATGAGAGAAAAAATAGTAAAAAAATAAAGAATAATAAATATATTTTTTTATGAATATTCTATTTGTTGTTTTGTTTTAAATAAAACATTTTTATTTTTAAGTAATAAATATTAGTACTATTTATAAGTAATTTATAAAACAATTTAATTTGTAAATACATTTATTTAAAAATATATATATATATTTTTCATAAATTAATCAATGCTTGATATATAATTATAGTTATAATATCTAATAAAAATTAAACTTTACAAAAATAAAATCAATTAAAAAAAATGTTTTTATTAAATATAAATTTATAAGTATATAGAAATAGAT